CCAAAAGAATTTTTTTAAAAAATGCTCAACCAGAGTATATCTGGTAGATAATGTTTTTAAGACAAGCAGTTTTTATCTTGCTTGATATCAAGAGCATTAACAGTAATAAATGTTCACTTATTTTGTTCCTACTCTGAGTTTTATGGGTAGAGTTACATTCACTTAAAAAAAAAAATTTCAATTTTACTATCCAGTCCAGTCTCCTGTCTGTGTAGTCTCCACAAAACTAACAAAGTAGGAACAAGATAATTTAACGTTTAATTTTATTTATTTCAAGATATCTGTAATCAAATGAGGATAAAAAGTATTTACTTTTCAACAATCTCCTTCCATGTCGACACACTCAATTCAGTAAATATCAGACATACAGTGAAGGTTTCAGATCAAAATTCAGCTAAATGTGTCAGGCTATGGACTTAATAATCCACCCTCATTATAGTGTGTGTGTGTGTGTGTGTGTGTGTGTGTGTGTATGTAAGTAGGCCAGTAATTTAGTAGAGTTTAACAAATTTAAAGTCAAGTAGATTTTTATAATCAATGTGCTCAATATTAAAAAATAGAGCAACAATAGTTAATAAAGAAAAGTGCAAAAGACTTATCTGTTTGACCTCAAGTCTTACAGATATGCCACTCATCAGGGTAAGCTTAAGCTGTTGAATTAACAAATATATTTATATAATATATAAATAGGATGTGTGTTAATAAATTCAATACATACCATAAATTGCAGCATACAAGTCAACCTCAAGATTTTCAGCTCAAAATTCTGAATTAGACATACTTACCATATAAGTCAACCCCTAACTATATATTCAAGAAACTGCCATTACTATCATGAAATTGCTCAGATGACATATGTATCACACATAGTTGTCTGCATGGCAGCCAAGATTAAACATATGCTTCAGTCAGTATTTACATTTAGTGTATCAGCTGTTGAACTCGGTCTGGGCAGAAGCATTAATAGAATCCTGAATTTCTGTTACTATTTTATTATTTTATATTAATTTCTATGTTAATGTGACAAATATGTTCACCAAACACAAGTGTTAGCAGCTTATATTTGTAGCACCCTCCTGGAGCTATTGTAAATGGTGTCCCACTTGTTTATCACTCGGTTGTAAAAGGTTTGTATTTTATACCCACAATATACGCTGAGCATGAGTTTTGGAAATATTTTTTAGGCTTGAGAAATAGGCTTGTATACTGCAACTTATGGTAGATACATAGATATTCTTATGGAAAAGCTATGACAAAGTGGAAAAAGACTTTTTGCGATGCATTTAGTCCTTTGGGATGTCATTGGACTAAAGTGATATTTATGTTGATATGAGTACACATGTGTGCAAGAGAGGAGATGGCGACAATTTTAAATTTGTTGAACTTTTCAGGATGGTCTGATTTTCTATTTTGAAATATTTTACAAGCTTTTTGTTTTGTGTAAGATCTACAAAACAAAATCAGATGATAAATTTTCTGTTTATACATTAAGCAAATGCTCTGTTTATAATAAACAGTATTAATTACATTTACTGGCCTGAATGTTTGAGAAATTTTGTAGAAAATATGTGTCCTTCGACAGGAATCAGAAAACATTTTCTAGAAAATTTCTTGGACATTCAGGCCATTAAATGTAATTAATACTGTTTATTATAAACAGAGCTTTTAGTTTTGTATAAAAATAATGTATAAACAGAAAATATATTAAAATAATTGTCAGACTTAGTCCATTTCATTATATATATCTCAAATGACAATTGGAAAAAATCTTACATTTTGCTGACGCGTTTCGTCTTCAGACTTTTTCAAGGCAAAATTTGTAAGATTTTTTTCCGATTGTCATTTGATACCAATCTGTCTTGTCCACAGAATTCATCTGTGAATTTAATTATATATATATATATATATATATATATATATATATATCTCTCTTCAGGTAAAATGAGAACAAATGAAGTATGATTCCACTTTATGTAACATTTAATTTAAGAGGGCTCAATACAGAGTAGAGCTAAATATTATTTATTTTAGGATATTAAAAACAAAATAATGTTCAAAATCACTACACAATGGCAATTATGTTTCGACACTATAAATGATGGGTGATTTGTGGTGTTGAAACAATTGTAACTGTAGTGATTTTTGACATGTTTTTGTTTTAATATCCTTATATATATATATATATATATATATTACACACACACAAATGTAAAAATCCATGGGTAAGTAATCCAAGTGAATTTAATAATATGAAATATTAAAACAGATCCACAATGAGAGCTCAATATATTTATTATAGAGCATATAAATGAATTACATAAAAATGAAACTCAGTTGTACCCCATTTATATGGCCATTTCGCTCCTTGATAGATTTCTCTCTTAGAGAAATTCCCTGAGCTTGTCAATACTAAAACATTTCAAAAAAAAAAAAAAAAAAAAATTAATGATTTTTAAAAAAAAAAAAAAAAAAATTGAAAATTAAAAGAAAGAGGAAAAAAGTACATCCATATAAATGAGGGAAAAAAAATCAGTCATTTTTATGTAATATATATATATATATATATATATATATATATATATATATATATATATATATATGTGTGTGTGTGTGTGTGTGTGTGTATATATATTATTTATTACAGGGTGCAGCAAAATAGAGTAAAGAATGAAAAATGTGTTTTAGTTTCAAAATGTCCATATAATTCCATTTTGTTTCATTTTATTTTCAGTTGCCAAAATGAATTGTCTGGGTGAGCATCATGCTTTCATTGGGGGAAATGTTTCTCAAGAACAACAAATCTGTAATTGCAACACAAATAGTGTTGGCCCACCTGATCACGTGATTTATTTCTGTGGGGATACCTGAAATCAAATGTATACACTCATTGCTCTCAATCTATTGGACAATTAAAAGATGTGATCAATCAAGAAATTGCCAACATTCCTCATGAAATGACCCGTCAAGCTATGGAAAACTTTGATAAATGCCTTCGACACTGTGTGGAAAGTAACATTACCCACTTGATCAATTTCATTTTTAAAACAAAATGGTATATTTTTTGAGAATAAAAACACATTTTTCGTAGCATTTACTTTTAAAAAAGTGCTCAATACAAAGTAGAGCAAGATATTATATTTTTATTATAATCCCTCATAATGTGTATATATATATATAGTGTGTGTGTGTGTAACCGAATGGGTGAATATAGGTAGGTATATGAGCAAGTGATCATATACAAATAAATAATGTATAGTGTAAGAAAAAACAGTGCTCACTGTTAAGTAACAGAGCTATTTAATATATATATATATATATATATATATATATATATATAAAATCACAATGTGGGGATACTTAATAAAGTGATAAAAACAACTAAATGAAATTGGCTATATTATATACCCAAACACTTGAAAAAAAAAAAAAAAAATAAATTTATTCAAGTTTTAAATGTCAGTGTATCCTCCCCAATGTGCATCTGTATAGTTACATTAATGTAAATATCACTTTAATCTGGTGAAATCCTAAAGGACGAAATGACTCACAAAGACTTTTTCCACTTTGTCATTAACTTTCCTAATATATTTTTAATGGATTAATTTTAACATTTTTATGACTTCAAATGTTATTGTTGGATATTGGATTTGAAATCATCCTGAACATTCAAGAAATCTTAAAGACAATTGGCTCACCAGCAGGGATTAAACCTGCATCCCCTTCTGAATGAGAAACCATTTGATTGAGCCTTCTTGAAACGTGATGCTCTCTGTAGCCAAGTAGTAAAGCCTGCCTGATCAAATGGTGGCTTCTTCAACAAAGGGTGACAGTTTTGATCCCTGCTAGAGAGCACATTTTCTTTTTCTAAGAATTCTAAAATGTGCAAACTATCCACGTTTTTTGGCAGCAACCTTTCTTTCAAACCTGCTTTGTTGAATATGACCCATAAGAAAATTTGAATTTTTATCGACTTTTTCTAGTGTTCTTATATTTTTCCATTTGCTGGAGACAAGGAAGTGTAAAAATTGTCCCAAGTGCTTTCAGCCACTAGCCATTTTCAAGGGGTTTGTAATTAATAATTAACAGCAAACCCTTTAAAAAAATGGCTAAAGAAGTGGCTGAAAGGTCACAAGACAATAGACACCATCATGTCCACCAAACAGAAAAATTTAAGAATACTAGAAAAACTCTAAAAATTCAAATTTTTTTTATCCGTCATATTCAGTGAAACACACACACATACACACAAACCTATGTTGTTAATGTTTGTATATATAAATAGAATTTATCTTACTGTTATTATTAATGCAACATGTGTTCAACAAAACAAAATTATCTGTGAACTGATTTTGATCTTCACCCTTTTTAGCAAACATTTTTTGCTGAACAAGTAGCAGTTTGGTCTCAAGTTTGGTATTTTCCGTTCCTGTTGAGGTCCAGTGCAGAATGGTTAAAGTAGGAAACAACCTTAACAACATCAATTAGTTTGAACTTTGAATTAAAATCTTTGACACAAGGTCAAGATTTACACCCCAGTTTACAGAGACTCAAAGCATTCTCAGGGTTTCATAATCACAACTTAGGCCTGGCTCAACTCAGGTTCAGTTTTTACTGTGGATTCAATTTTCTGTTCGAGATCCTTATCTTTTGACTCATTGGCAGCCATTCCTTTTGCTTCTAAACCAGGATGAGAAATTCTTGGAACATTCTTCATCTGACTGATCCAGTCACTGACATCTTTGGTAGTTGGAGGAAAAGCAGAGTCCAGATAAAAAGTTGACACATTGATTTGATCATGTGCTTGAGAATTTAGGGATGTTAAATCTGTGAAGAAATGAAAGAAGTTGAAAGATTCAAATCCAGCAATCAGAAACAATTCAAGGAAATTGAGAAAGAAATTGGACCCAAACATTGGTAAACCCCCCCACCTTTTTTTTTTTTTAATATTTTGACAACATATTGCATAAGTTTTGTAAACCAAGCTAAACACAACGCAAAATTTATATAAAAAGAAATGGAAAATTAAATGTCACAGTTTGACTGTTTGAAAAATATGGGTTGAGATAATGAGAGGGAAAGAGGAGGGAGGGATGGGGGGAGAGGGAAAGAGGAGGGAGGGATGGGGAGAGGGGAGGGAGGGGGATGGGGAGAGAGGGAAAGGAGGGATGGGGAGAGAGAGGAGGAGGGATGGGATGGGGGAGGGAAAGAGGAGGGGGGGGGAAAGAGGGAAGGAGGGGGGAAAGAGGGATGGGGGAAAATGGGGGAAATTTCAAATACAGGAATCCATTGATTAGTGCAGCTAAAGTGTACATTAAAAGTTACACATTAATAGAAACATTAATCAAATATTATAACTTACAGGAAATGGTGTTACTTCTACCTCGAATTTTAGTTTCATTCACAATTTCTAATTTATGTACTTTTTAATTAAAATATGTGTTCATACAAGATACAATAAAAACAATATGAATTAATATTTATTAATCTGATGTTTTATGAAAAACTTATTTAGAGGGGTCTGCCACAAGGTATTCTTCTGTTAATCATACAATTGGCAGTATAAAGAAATTGCCCCTTCAAATTTTTCAAACATAATTATTAGTATTTTTACCTGAAAATTTTATCCATAATATTTACATAGTAAAGTAAATGCGTACATCTTTCATATTTTGATATTTCTTAAATGTAAAAATTCTGTATCTAATTAAATCATACATTATTTTTAACAAAATAAAAAAAATTAGAAATTTCCTTTTGTGACCTTCAAAATAAACATAAAAAAAAAAAAAAAAAAATTTAATCAAAATATTCAAAAAATTCAATAGAGACAAATATTCAAATAAGTATTTTATTATCAGCTTATATTATAAAATTTATCTATTTATAACTCTCCATTTATTTTTTTAACACAGCTGTAATTACTTAGATAAACAAAATAGTTAACCATTTTTGATTTTTAAATTTTTAATTAATCACCAACTATACAAAAAAACCCCCAAAAAACTGAATGTTATACTGCACTAATTGAGTATTATACTATGCACTAATCGAATCTTGGTATATCAAAATTTTAGCGCACTAATCGAATGCACATTAAACAAAGGATGCCTGTACTACAATAAAGAATTATTTTCTGAAACTATTCTATTAGCCAATTTTTCAAACTATATTCAATGATGTCAAATCTTAAATACTCTTCTCTTGTAGCCTTGTGCCTGACAAAGCTAAGCTTGAAACTCATGGTATGTCGGTGTAAGAATAGTCAGTGAAGTAGACTATCAGTCTGTTTTTACAATGAGAGTTCAGTCCACACATGATGCTCTTTTTTAATGGCCTTGTGTAGACATATTAAGCAGAGTTTTGTTTTGTTTTATGGCAATGAGATATTTAATGTCAGCAACTTTTTTTCTTCATAATATTTTGTTTTGTCAAAAGTCTATTTCTGGTAATATTTTTTTCTTAAAAATGTATAGCTGGTAATATTTTTTTTAATATTTCAAAAATTGCGGTAATTTTTTTTCAAAACATATTGTAATATTTTCAAAAAAAAAAAATATTTTTTTCAAAACATTTGTTGGTAATATTTTCTTCAAAAAAATTTTTTTTTTAATAATTTTTTTTTTTACAAAGTATTGATATTAAAACCTATTTGTCACACTTTCATAGTGATTTTTACATCAGTTTATTTGCTCATAGCTGGGATCCTAACATGTCCTTGTCGATGATGAATTATTTCCCAATCTGCAATCCCTTTCACAGACAAAATATTGCAAGCCTATCATAATTGTTCGGATAAGAAAAACATTCCTTAATTCTAGCAATCCTAACCTTCACGGCTAAGGCCTGCCTTGCTGCACACATTGTAGTAAACCAACCTTTGTTTCAGCAAAGAAAGGGTCAAGAAAGACATTTAGGGTTACTAGACAACAAACAGAATGACCTCCTAAGAAATAGCAAGAAGGGAATTTAGAATTGCTTGACAACAAACAGAATGGCCTAAGAATCAGTCAACTATTCTCACATGACATACATCACCAAGTTGGATTTTGGTATTGTAACTTTAGTTAACACCCCCCCCCCGATGACTTCCGACAACAACAGTTCACAAGAAAAATAGACTCATCCTGCAATAGTAAGGGATAAGTGAGAAATATACCCACAAGCCTATTCCATTACTTATTGAGTAGGGAATAAGGAAATTGTCACAAAGATCTTGGGTTTATTTGACTGTTTAATGGGTAAAAAATTAAGGTATATTGTACCCAGATAGATACAAAGAAAACATCTTAGTTAATTGGATTGCATCCAAGATGAAACATTATCTGGAATTCTATATTTCACATTGTGTAAGAAAGAACAGCCAAATTTTGTGAACATTCTACAGCAACTTTGTGTGTCATTACAAACATTTGAACTCCAAATTTCTGAAACACAAATGTTTGAACTGACAGCCAATATCAGTTAAGTGTTCTTTTATTAATTGTACGTTCGTCGCTCCTCAGTGTTCCTATATTTTTGTATTTTCTTACATAAAGTTTATTTATAAATGTTAATCTTGTGTTTGTGTTCCTATCTGAGCGAACCAACCCTTTTTTTTGGGGGTGGGAGGGGGTTCATACCTTTATACAGTGAATTTGCAACAATTTATAGACTGAAAAAATAAAAATCTAAGTTTTCTTAGACTCACAACTGAAAAGCTTAATTGCAATCCTAGCTTAAACTCAGCAGTTACTAAATTTCATAGGCTTTATCTTAAGATAAGGGTCCTGAAATCAATGTACACAGGAAAAATTCAGGTAGTACCTAAAGTCTCTTGAACACCCTCTGCACATTTAGTTATACAAGAACTAAAAAAGAATTGCAGGTAAGAAATGATCATTGATTAAAGTGGTTACCTGGATGTTTCAGATATTTTCCTTTTTGTTCAGTCTCTTCAGAAATATTTGGAATTTTCCGTATCAAATCTAGGGGTGGGTAAAAAAATAAAAGAATAAAAAAATCAGACTCAAAAACTTAAGAAATATTTGTATTAGTCATGGATACACACTTGATCTCCCCCTCTCTCATCCCATCCCCCTTACTCTCTCCCCTCCTTCTATCCCTCTCTCAAAGGATGAAAGTTCATTAGAACAGATCCAGTCTTCATCTCTTCTCCCTGCAGCAACAGGTTAATTAGTAAGACTTGTATCACTAAATCATTATTATCTCAAATGAAGAGAGATAGAGAGAGATAGAGAAAGATAGAGAAAGATAGAGAGAGAAAGATAGAGAGAGAGAGAAAGAAAGATAGAGATAGAGAAAGATAGAGAAAGATAGAGATAGAGAAAGATAGAGAAAGATAGAGATAGAGAAAGATAGAGATAGAGAAAGATAGAGAAAGATAGAGAAAGATAGATAGAGAAAGATAGATAGAGAAAGATAGATAGAGAAAGATAGATAGAGAAAGATAGATAGAGAAAGATAGATAGAGAAAGATAGATAGAGAAAGATAGATAGAGAAAGATAGATAGAGAAAGATAGATAGAGAAAGATAGATAGAGAAAGATAGATAGATAAAGATATAGAAAGAGATAGATAAAGATATAGAGAGAGATAGAGAAAGATATATAAAGATAGATAGAGAAAGATAGATAGAGAAAGATAGATAGAGAAAGATAGATAGAGAAAGATAGATAGAGAAAGATAGAGAGAAAGATAGATAGAGAGAAAGATAGATAGAGAAAGATAGATAGAGAAAGATAGATAGAGAAAGATAGATAGAGAAAGAGATAGAGAAAGATAGATAGAGAAAGATAGATAGAGAAAGATAGATAGAGAAAGATAGATAGAGAAAGATAGATAGAGAAAGATAGATAGAGAAAGATAGATAGAGAAAGATAGATAGAGAAAGATAGATAGAGAAAGATAGATAGAGAAAGATAGATAGAGAAAGATAGATAGAGAAAGATAGATAGAGAAAGATAGATAGAGAAAGAGATAGAGAAAAGATAGATAGAGAAAGATAGAGAAAGATAGATAGAGAGAAGATAGATAGAGAAAGATAGAGAGAAAGATAGATAGAGAAAGATAGATAGAGAAAGATAGAAGAGAAAGATAGATAGAGAAAGATAGATAGAGAAAGATAGATAGAGAAAGATAGATAGAGAAAGATAGATAGAGAAAGATAGATAGAGAAAGATAGATAGAGAAAGATAGATAGAGAAAGATAGATAGAGAAAGATAGATAGAGAAAGATAGATAGAAAAGATAGATAGAAAAGATAGATAGAGAAAGATAGATAGAGAAAGATAGAAAAGATAGATAGAGAAAGATAGAAGAAAGATAGAGAGAAAGATAGATAGAGAAAGATAGATAGAGAGAGAGAAAGATAGAGAGAAAGAAAAGATGATAGAGAAAGAGAAGAGAAAGATAGATAGAGAAAAGATAGAGAAAGATAGATAGAGATAGAGAAAGATAGATAGAGATAGAGAAAGATAGATAGAGAAAGATAGATAGAGATAGAGAAAGATAGATAGAGATAGAGAAAGATAGATAGAGATAGAGAAAGATAGATAGAGATTTTAGAAAGATTAAAATAAAATAGATAAATAATTAAAAATTAATCTTCTGGCTTTAAATAATTTACAATGGGTGGATAAACCATAGAAAATGACTCAATCAAATATTGTGCTCAAATTTTGCAGATAATTTTTTTTTTATTTGCACAAGTTCATTGCAGGAACCTCCTCTCTGATTGACCATGTCTTTAGGGGCACTCACCATGCTTGATGAACCCAAAATTGGCCAAGCATGGTGAGTACAGCTAGATATTTGGAGGTTTGGAATTAAGAGTTGTTCTTCTCCTAGACCAGTTGCCACCCAAGGCTATAGAACCCAGTCTGTCCTGCTATTTACAAATAGTTGAGGGGGGAGGGTGAAAACAGTTGGATTCATACCTCTCCCTGAGGGTATTTACTTGTAAGTGAATGTAATGTACACAACTGGAATTAAAGTCAATATCCATTACTCCACTGCCACTACACACACATATATATATATATATATATATATATATATAAGGTAGTGTTAGAAGTGTAAGGTTTAAGGAGGAGGAGGTTAGAGAAACAAGAGGTTAAAAGAGTTAAATGATTAAAAAGAACCTTAATGGATAAAAGTGGTGAAGACATCTTTTGCAATCAATTAAAGTCGAGATTTTGGCTACAAACATCCAACTGACATCAAGGAATGAATCAAAGATATATATATATATATATAAGTGGACTCTCCCATTGTATTTGACACATGAGGGTCAAGCAGCTCAGTTCCTAGGAACATATGATTTGATTATAGTGGTGAAGGCTTTGTGCAGAACCAACCACACTTTCTGAAGGGCCGAATACAGGGCTGATGTTATCAAACTGGAGGGAGGGGGGACAATCCCAGTGTGTGGCATCTTTGGGAAGTGCCTGAAGGCCATACCACAGGCTGACCAAAGCCTTGCTAGTGAAATTGGGTAGACGGAATACTTGGAGATCATCGACAGCTGTGCATGCATGAAGTCACAAGTCATTGTGACCGAGGATTCGAGTGTGCTAGTGTTATTCCGATTGTTGATCATGCTAGGTAACATCTGCTCAGCATAGTTTGGCTCTGTATGTGCTGAACAAACACAAATGTGACCGAGTGAGGGTCTGCAATAGGGATTGGTTAAATGCTATAGTAGACAGGTATCCTCAAATATGAGTGACCAGCTTTTATTATAATAATGATTATTATTATAATAATGAGGGGAGAGGGAGCGGGGAGAAGAGGGATAGGAGGAGGGGAGAGAGGGAGCGGGGAGAAGAGGGATAGGAGGAGGGAGAAGAGGGATAGGAGGAGGGGAGGGAGAAGAAGGGATAGAAGGAGGGGAGAGAGGAGGAGGGATAGGAGGGGGGAGAAGAGGGGGAGGGGAGGAGGGGGGGGAGAGAGGAGAGAAGAGGATGGGATGAGGGAGTGGGAGAAGAGGGATGGATGAGGGAGAGAGGGAGCGAGGCGGATGGGATGAGAGAGTGTGAGGCGGATGGGATGAGAGAGTGTGAGGCGGATGGGATGAGAGAGGGAGAGATCAAGTGCATGATGGAGGAATATTCAGGTCTTGTTTCTTTGAACATGTTACGAATGCTTGTAATTAAAAGCAGGATCATTTGTCATCATGAGCATGTTGTACACACAAATGAACAGTTTTTTTTTTGTTTTTTTTATTTACTTCTTAGTAGCAGTAATAATTGCTGGCATTAGAAAAGAATGAAGAAAAAAGAAATTGTAATTGTTGGTAGTGTGCGCGCATATATAAGTCATTAAAATAAAAATGCAGTCATATGGTTTCTTAATGTGAAATGCGTATGCTTGTCTGTGAGAGCCTGCGGAAAATATCTTGGGGTTTTTTGGCATGCAGTTGATGGATTGTTTTCCTCTGAATCCTATAATTCAAAACATTTTTAATCATTTCATCCCAAGCAAGGCAATAAAACCACTAAGATGCAAGGGTTTAATGAATGTGAAAGAATATGAGAAAAAAGAAAGACGTTAAGGAGGGAGAGGACAGTAAAAGAAGAAGAATTAAAAAAATAACGATTAACATCACATTAAAACTTCTGAAGGTCGGTATTGACAGGAAAGCAGGAAGCTGAGACAAAGTTTGGCCAAGTGAGAAGTGCAAGTGAAAAAAATGTTAGCATAGAACTTAGATTTAGCCATTTCAACTGTAAATTGTTGTAGTAGTTTTTGGTCTTGAATACAAGCATTTTTTTTTTTTTTCCAAAAACCAGGAGGTTGGAGAAGGAACTCAGGGAGTGGGTTAGGGTTTGTCTGGAACTTAGTTTATGTGAATGAAGGAATGGTACAAGAACAGAGCAAATCATTTAAAACAATTTGCTTATCAAAAGTTTTGCCACAAGTAAATAAAAGCCTTACAAAGCATCTTCCTGATCGCATTAATTTGTTATTTTCTTTCTTTACAGATTTCTATTGTTTTTACCTGTAAGATGAGTGAAATGCTTTGGCATGTCAAGATCACGTCTTTCCACACACCCCCACCCTTAGTATCCCAATATGTTTTACCTTTTAAATTGCTCCAATTCCCAAAATGTATACAAAGTTACATTTTTATAAAACAGCTGCAGGAGATTTTTCATTCTCTAACAAAATATTGCTCATACAAGTCACCTCCCAATGTTCTTTTCTCAATCAGATCTTTTTAATTTATTTTTAAATGAACAAGAAAAGATGGCACATTATTTGACCAAAATATATATATTTTTTTTTTTATTTGACACAAACCTTTCGAATTTAGCTAAATTGGACACAAACCTTTCGAATTTAGCTAAATTGGACACAGACCTTTCGAATTTAGCTAAATTGGACACAAAATTGGACTGAACTTTTAGCTAAATTGGACAAATTTAGCACAGACCTTTCTGAATTTAAAATTGGACAATTTAGCAAACACTTTTCGAATTTAGCTAAATTGACCTTTCAATTTAGCAAAAAAGACTTTCGAATTTAGCTAAATTGGACACAGACCTTTCGAATTTAGCTAAATTTCGAATTTAGCTAAATTGGACACAAAATTTAGCTAAATTGGACACAACTTTTCGAATTTAGCTAAATTGGACACAGACCTTTCTGAATTTAGCTAAATTGACATTTTTTCAATTTAGCTAAATTGGACACAGACCTTTCGAATTTAGCTAAATTGGACACAGACCTTTCGAATTTAGCTAAATTGGACACAGACCTTTCGAATTTAGCTAAATTGGACACAGACCTTTCGAATTTAGCTAAATTGGACAGAAACAATTTAGCTAAATTTAGACTAAATTTAGCTAAATTGGACACAAACCTTTTTAGAATTTAAGACCTTATAAATTGTAAATTGGACACAAACCTTTCGAATTTAATTATAGTAATAGTTTCCAGTTTCTTTTCCTTTTGTTTAATTAGACTAGAATATGAAAATTTGAGTCCTAAAATGACAATTTATGGTTCATGGTTCCATAAAATAATGATTTGAAATTAAGGAAGTTAATTATTTTTATTTATCATTCATTTGAAACTATCAATAACCAAATTTGTCTACTTGCATCTAGCATTCCAAAGTAAAGTCAATGTTTTTAAATCTCACCCAGAAAAAGAAACTTTCTTCCAAATACCAAAATGAAATCTAGAATAACGTGGATTAAACCGAGGCACAGTGAAGGCAAGAAAGAGAGAGTTAAAAAGCCCCGGTTGACAAAAGGGGACAATACCATAAGGCATTGGAGAAAAAAAAAAAAAAAAAAAAAATCAAAGTAGCCATTATGTAAAAAAGAGGGAGCCATTGAAGAAAAAGAGTACAGATAAATTTACTTACAACAATTTGTTGGTGAAGTCGTTGGACTGACAGATTCTGGTATGGATGATCTCCTTTTGCGCTTCAACTTCTGACATAAGCGTATGGCACCATAAAAGGGAAGGGCAGCAGCACTCACACAGACTGCTGCACTGCCTACACCAATGGCCAGAGTGCCAACAAAGACGGCTGCACACACTCTGGTACCTGAAACAGGACGGATTTGAAAGAAACCATTCAAAATTCAAACGACTGTCTTTTTTTATTGTTAACCATTAGTAATTTTTCAATTATTTCTTTCATCTTAATTTTGCTTGCTGTTAAGGATATGAGTTAACATTTAGAAAAAAAAAATATTTGAAATTTCAATTTTCAGCATAATAAAATATTTGCATTTTTATATTAACCCTGCCTTCATACATTATATAAATATATATATATATATATATATATATATATATAAAAAGAAAAAACAGTAAGATATAAAATCCAGTGTTCTTATAGATATATATTTTTTTTTTTTAGTATAGTATTAGGAAAAAAAAAACATTTTAAATCAATTAATTTATTATATATATATATATATATATATAATTATTTAAAAAAAAAAATTTATAACATAAATGTTATAAAATCATTACAGAAATAGCCATTTTGTTTGAACACCCCTGGTGTCTTATCAAGTGATGATGTTGAATGCAAAATAAATGGTTTTATTACCCGTATTTTAAAGATTTGAATAGCTACTATAACATGACTCCGTTGTTAAGCTTTTTCAATTTTCCTATACTTGTATTTTGATTGGTCATTTTTTGTAAAAGCGTTTTCCCCTTGCGAAGGGTCGTTAATTTGAAACTTTTAAAACCATTTATTTTACATTCAACATCACTTGATAAGACACCGGCGGTGTTGAAACAAAATGGCTATTTCTGTAGTGATTTTATAACATATTTATGTTATAAATTTTAAAAAAAAAAAAAATAATTATATCTGCTCTACTTTGTATTGAGCACTCTTTTAAGAATAGTAATTGTTGGTTATTGGCATTCATTCCATATATACCAATTACATACTTGGGTATATATATTTGATGATGTACTAGCCTAGAAGCCACCCTTCAGTGGGCTTTTAGGCTAGCTCCTGCAGAGGGATTTTGAGACTCCAACCTTTCTTGTCTTATGCATGTAAAAGTTATAAGAATTTAGAAATAGTAAAACTATTTTATTTTTAATAGACACAATTCTTCTTCATATACGCAAACAATCTCTGTAGTTTGTTTACTTTTAATTTGCATGTAACTTTTTTCCTCTTAAAAGACATTAGGGGACCAAAACTATGTAATATTTCAAATATGTCACAGTACGTCTGCAAAAAAAAAAAAAAAAAAAAAAAAAAAAACAACAACATACTGTATCTCACTTAAGTTCTAATTATAGTTTAATTAGACGGTATCAATTGCAAAATTACAAAAAGTGAAATTGACGTTGAACCTTTAATAGAAAGGTGTGTTTTTTTTTTTTTAAACCTTTTTGTAATTTTAAATGAGTTATTTAATTTTTAAATCACATGTAACAGTGTTTTTTTTTTTTATCTCGATACAAGGGAGGTTGTATAAAGGTAAAATAAATAAATAATTTTGAATTTACAATTTAACGTATAACACATCCACAGATATGCAACCCCCTGAAGAGTGTGTAAGATGAGATTAAAAGTACTTGGAGGAAAATAAAAATAAAATAATAAAGACAATTTTCTACAGCCACCAGAAATGAATTTGTGGACTTGAAAAGGATTAAAACTGAAATAGACATAATATGTCTAAATTATTTAACCAAACATGCTGCATATATATATATATATATATATATATATATATATATATATATATATATATTTTGTTTATGTTATTTTTATAGATATAAATATTTAAGTAAATGGTCTGTTTATAATAAACAGTATTAAACAACATTTACCAGCCTGAATGACAGAGAAATTTTATAGAAAGGGTTTTTGACAGGAATCGAACCTGTATCCTACACAGAACGCTCATATAGCCTGACATGCTATACCATTTAGCTACATAGAAAGCATGGTTAGCAAGGTCAAATTACTGCCTTTTTTTGTGCATGCTAGCCAGACACATTGATGTTGGGATAAAATTAACATTTAGAAGATATGTAATCTTTATATAATATCATTAACGCACTATTTATTTTAAAATTTTAATTTTTTTTTTTTTTAAATTCTAATATTATATATATATATATATATATATATATATATATATATATAGCTCAATATTAGAATTAAAAAATTAAAAATATAATATATATATATATATATGCTGTTTCATAAATCTTATATATTTAAATTTTTTTTGTGTGTAACAATTGAGGCGCAGTGTGCAAAATTTTGACATGAAACACAGAAGTCAAGACTCCATTCACATCCACACGCAAAAAGCTAACTTACTGACTACAAAGAGACCGTTCACCACGCACTGTCTCACCTGCTCAAAATTCAAGTTATATTTGTTTTTGAAAAGAGAAAAAAAATTAAAAAAATAACAAAACAACAACACTAGTGGGAATACCTGGCATTGCTCGGAAAAAATAACTTCATCTTGGGTTTCATTGCCATTTTGAAATTCAATAACATGTTGCTTCATTGTCTTGATAATCAGTCTGATGCCATTGCAAAGACTCAGGGGGTCTAGATTTCTCAAGAATATGAATAAAGGTCTCCCTTTTTCTGAATGAGATTGTGAAGTGTTATGCCAGATGATTGGAGGGAATTATGTACAATTTTGTTTTTCTTGTTTTTAAAAAACAGTAAATAATAAATTCCGCTATTTATTAAAGCAAATACATTGTCTATGTCGATATTTCCTCAAGGACACATAGCACAGTGGATAAAGGCGTTAGTTAGATCCAGTGACAGGACCCAAAGAGTGTGAGTTCAATACCTGGTTAAGGCAGTGGAGAACTTTCAGAGGGGAATTAACACGAGATAACTGATATCCATTAGACATGGCATGTGGAACTAGAACAGTCTACCCCAGTGAGCAAAATAAAGAATTCAGTTTGACATTCCAACCACCTGAAGAATGTACAACAGGCGACAAAGATGAGGACAATAGTCTGAATAATGTAAATACATTGTCTATGTATTTTATCAACAGTAATTATTTTTCTTTAATCAGAAAATAATTACTTCATTTAAAATAATTTATTTTGTTCCATATTGCTTTTTAAAAAAGGTATTTTACACTTAAATTGTTTTTTTGTCAGTAAAGAGATCGATTTCATGGAAAAATATTTAAAAAACAAACAAATATATATATACACACACACACACACACACACACACACACACACACACACACACACACACACACACACACACACACACACGTTGTTTTCTTTTTGTGTGTGTGTATGTAAAAATTGAGAGGCAGTGTGCAAAAGACTATTCATATCCACACACACAAAAAGCTAACTACAAAGCAATTCCCTTTCCACGCCCTCTCTCATTGCATGGGTTAGCAAGGGTGGGTGCTGTGAACTACAAAGAGAATTTCTCCCTAGGGAAACAGTTCAGAGTAAGGAACTAAGTTGTATTGAACCATGACACTCAGAATTTTGACGTTTAACCAAAACCCCAGTAGAAGGATGGACAGCTTTATGTTATTGTACTTTGGGGACGTTTGCAGTAAAAATAAAAAAAAATAAAAAAATTTTGGTTGTAAATATATAAATTTATTAGTATAAAACATCTTTCCTGAGGTCTTTATAAATTGTACACTGTTCAATTATTAATGTTAACAATGAACTATTTTTAATTACAAAATTGTACATGGATTAAACAAAAATTACTAATAATACATTCCTTCCTGCTGTCAATTTTGACAGCATAGATAAACTAGTAAAGGGTGTTCCAATAACTTGGACCGATTTTAAATGTGAATTAAGTTTAAGCGTCTAATGAATTTCTTTTTCTTTTTCTATCAGATTTGGCGGACATTTGGGTGACATTATTTTTCACACATAATTGTCATGACTTAAATAACATGATCCAATAGAGAAATAAATAAATTTTCACCAATAACACTGATTTATTTACTACTGACTTTGATCCGTCTTAATGAAACACCTTTATATATAATCCGTCTTAATGAAACACACTTTATTATATATAATTCAAAAGGATCAGTCTAATCCAGTTAGTACTTGGCTGATTAAAAGAGGTGGGATTTTGTTTTAAACTAGTTTTAGTTTAACAAGTTTATTTAGAAAAGCTTAAATTTTTGTTCAGAGTTTGAAATCAAAAGGACATCTAGTAGTAGATTCCTAAATGGTGGGAAGGAGAAGAAACACCGAGTGGATCTGAATTCCTATTTGGGGTAGACACTGGCTGGCTCGTGCTCATCTCAGGTTACGGGGTACACACTGACTGGGTTCATGCTCATCTCGGGCTACCGGGTACACACTGGCTGGGTTCATGCTAGAGTTAGTGAGGAGGGAGGTGGATAAACAGCTGGCAGAGATAAAGTTAGTATAATCTAGATCACGCCAATAATGAAAGAATTATGTGAGGTCCCAAGACGAGGATTTTGAAGAGGACTAAGGTGTTACTACCCTAGATAGGCCATTTTGCATTTAGATTAAAATGGCTTTTCAGTTACTTGACTGATCTTAGATATCCTATCATAGAACATATTCTTCATTGAGAATCAAAAAAAAAAAAAAAAAAAAATGAATAAATATAAAAGAATTATAAATTGTCCCCTATGGTTAAGTAAAAAGATAGATTACTTACTGAATATGGAGCCACGTATTAATTTTCTGCAGAAAGGCTTCTGAGGTAAGAACGCATATTTACAACCAAACACACTTAGTTTGCTAGAATGATCTCCAAAGGCCTTCCAACTACGAAACGCTTCACCACAACGATAGCAGAAACTTGTTCCACATTTTACACAATTCAT